TTACAGCGTAGGGGTTTCTAAGAGACCATGCGGGATGGCTAGACCATGGCCCCCGTGCCCAATTTCGGACTTCTCAAGTAACGATAATGGTAGCATTTGGGATGCGTACGTAAGGACGTTGGGCTGTCTGCGACGTTGACGATCACTAGCCCTTTGGAGTCTCGGATTCGGTATGCAGAGTCGGGCCGTGGTGGCTCTGCCGCCTTCTCTATCACTTTTTCTATTCCTACTACTAGTGACTTTCGTGAGGGAATTTCTCCAGGGACTGCCAAAGACACCGTGAATCCTTCGGCAGTTGGCTAGCCTGACAGTCAAATCGGCAGCGGGCAGCAATCCGCTGCCGTCTGTCTGTAATTCTGCGAAGAGATGGGGAGGGGAAGGGCCGAGAGGGGGAAGGGAAAAGGGTCCAGGCCGTCGGCAGCTGTTCGGAATAGGTGGTTGATCATGTTGATCAAGATGATCTTTGGGATCGCCCGGGGAGTTCTCCGTAGGGAGAGCAGCACAGAAGGGAAAGGGGAGATGAGGAGCCCGACAAAGCAAACCACGATGGGTTATTCGGGATGATTGCGGATAGTTGGGATGTCTTGGTTGATCTTGTCTTTGGCCCCATTGCAGGGATAGAGATTGGATGCTCGTTCGTCCTCATCCTCCCTTTCCAGGCTCTTTCAGACGTTCTCTGTCCGTTAAGACGGTCCCATCGTTTCGCGGACGGTTGCTTCTGCGATTGTCACTTCTTACTAGCGCAGTGGCGTCGCAGCGGAAAACGTTAGGTGTCATTCCCAGGAAATGCTGCCGTCCGAGCGGCGAGCAGACGAGATGGACGTCGCAGACGGCATCTAGCAATGAGGAAAATTGGAGGAACCCACAAGTCCAAGTTTGTGTCTTCTTTTTCTCTTCGCTTGGCGAGGCTCAAACACTGACGTCTCTAGTGTTGCGCTTTTGTATAGTGTAGAAATAAGCGAGGTAACCTAAAGCGCAACTACAACAACAGCCCAGCCTGTCCTTCATCTGACTGTTTCAGCAATGTGGCTTGCTGCCGGGAAGATGGTGGACGCTGGGGAAGGGGGGAGGGAGTGTCATCGCAGCATTGAGTTGGAATTCGCAATGGCAGACTGGCTCGTCCGTCTGAACCGGTCGTCATTCCTCTTACCGCTGGGCTCAAACTGACAGGCAGCGGCCTGCCAGCGGCCCAGGACTCTCTTTCTTCAGATTTTTGGCTCAGGTCTGGGCAGCAAGGCTGTACTTCGGCGTGTTGTGTGTTAGAGTGTAAGGTTGCTCATCGATCAGATGAAAGGCTTTGAAACACAACGTGTGGCCATCATCTTTCCCCCTCTGGCCTTTGCACACCGCACACCGGGGGAGTGGGAAAGAGATGAAGAAAGACGTGCGGTGTAGAATGTGGTGTGAGCGCCGCTGAAGACAAAGTTCAACGGGCCAATAGGTTGTCGACTAAGACGAAGGCGCTCACGTCTCGGTTGAGCGGTTGAGCCATCTCCAAAAGAAGGGATCCCCCGTCTAGCAAATTGCGTGAGCATCCAGCGTATACTCTACACTACCTTCACACACTCTGCGAACACCATGGTACGACTCTACCTTACGCAAGCAGCGCAGTGCTCGTGGGATGGGCGTGGCACATGGACAGAGTTTCTTGCCGTCCGTCGCCGGTACCATTCGGAGGGGACGCGCTAACCTGGTAGTCGACGGACTCCCCGTCGTGACGGGTTCGTTCTGGGAAACTTGGAGGACGAGCCAACCAAATTTCCCACCGCCGCGACACTGGGAACGGCGATGGGCTGGTTTAGCGGCGTAGCGTGCGATTTCCCAGGCATGAGTAGCATCGAACGCACGTTTACAGAAAGATAGGCCCCGGGGGTGAGTATGATGTGGGAAGGGTTGAAGGGTCGAAAGACTGGACTGGGGAGGGGCGGAGGGGACGCACGAGACTCCAATAAAGAAGAAGAGATCCCCGCCAAGAGAGGATATGAATCGTCTGAGGTCTGCAAAGCAAGGAATGCCGGTCCCTGGTCGTGCAAGTCTGCGTGCGAGTGCCGACCAAGGCTCTCCCAGCCCCAGCCCGGTCAAGAAGCATGCCGGATCCTGAGTCGTCGGCTCTGCAGGAACAGGCTCAGCTGGAGCCCGTGATCGGCACGCATTCCCCTGCTCGGAAGCCCTGCAAGGGTTCTGCTTGTTTGACTTCGACTTTTTGATATTGAGACGGAGCTGGGACCGGTTAGACGGGGTGGACATGGTGAGTGGCCGAACCCCCCCCCCCCCTAATCCCCATCCCAAGTTCTAGCTAGTCAACTGCCCAGTAGTTGTAATCCTCGCTTTCTCGGGCGGTCAGTCAGCGAGAACCTGCGCTCTTCCCTTCGCCGGTTGAGACGGTGGCAGTGGGAAAGCCTAGAGAGCATGTCAAATGCAACATGAGATGCAACAGCTGGCGAACGCCTCTCTATATCGTCGATTACTACGTTATCCCACACCACGCGCGACACGATCAAAATCCAGTATTGAAGATACGCTGGACGGGGCGATGACCTGTACCGGATCGCCGGTCCCCAGAGCGAGATTTGCTAATAACCCGACATTCATGCCCAAAGGGATCTGTCGCCTCTCACTGTGAGAGCCAGTGCTCAAGGCTCATGACGCCATGGGGCAGATCAGGCCATCGAGAGCTCTTGGCACTATCCGTCCTAGACTTTTCTCGTCTCTAGTGTCTCTTGTCTGTTTAGGCTCGTCCTTCCAGCCAGAAGCTTGAGGTCCTCGTTCGGCGCCGAACAGCCAAGAAGAGGAGGAACCAACGGCTAGCAAGTTGCGACGACCAAGAGAGAGCAATAGGAGCACGGATTCACTAGGGCCATCGCAGGCTTCCCGACGAACGTCAGCAAGGACAGGCCACCGCTGCCACTCTTCCCGGCGCGCCGGGCAGGGTAGGGGGCTCGGGAAGGTGGAGGGAGGGGCCCCAAACTATCGTTAGCCAAGATCGCTCCGCCAAAGGAGTGAAAGGTGTGCCCCCCCTCGTCCTTGGGTTTGACTTTCTGGCGTGCAGCGCTAGAAGGATTTTGGTCTGCGTCTAGCGTGAGGACAGAGTCATTAGTAACTAGCCGTGCTAACCTACCGGGCTCCGTACACTTATAATGCCTTATTAGAGACTAACCTTTCGACTCCAAGATTGCAGTGAAAGCGCAGGGAGGGGCAGAAAGGCAAGCACTGCCCTGTGGCTGACGACAGTGAGATGAACACTGAAAGCAATCACTCCACGAGTCCATGCTCTACGGAATATCCGTAGCGCGCGTATGTAGATTACTTCGTACATTACTCCGTACTGAGCTTCTTCATGGAGAGAACGGTTGCCGGCTCGCTCTACCCACAGTCTACGGAGTCCAGAGAGAGATAGTCATTGTCGTCGGCCCCTCCTCCCTGCGTCGGGCGAGTTCCTTTTGGCTCTGCATGCAAACCGGGCTCCCACGCCGTTTTCCTGTGGATTTTGTGCCTGGCGCTGCAGGCATCGTCCCTCTTCTGCGCTGCGAGATGGAATGGTGATCACCGTTTGCGGGTCGAATCCATCGTCTTCGCAACTGGGAAAGGGCTTGTCGAGGAAGACCGGTGTGGAAAGGGGGCATGAAAATTAACAATAACAACAACAGTACCGTCATCAAAGTAAGGGTCCATTCCCATGCGATGACCAAAACACCAGACAGCTCGCAAGGCACAGGTCGTAAACAACTAGAGTACATTTGGGGAAGGGTGCTACTCCGTACATCCGTGCCAGCGGCGCTTGAAAGCCTCATCTCGGAGCGCCAGTCGATCCACTCCGCGTCCGCCCGACTCCCGAGATTGGGCTTCCCATAGCAAGCCGGCTTCCTCGGGGTGTTTTTTGACAAGCTTGTCAAGCCATGTCTTAGACTCGTAAGTCAACAACCCCGCTCGAGGGGGGAAGAGTCCCCATTTTCTCCAACAGGATGCCAGCGAAGGAAAAGCTTGGTATTACATACGCACGTATTGACATGAGTACGATGAATTAAGGGTCCGGAGATCCATCCATCCATCAAAACAATGAGTGCCCATGATGGGCAGAAGATTGACTCGATGGGTAAAACACGGAATAATATAACATAATTGCAATTAAGAGCGCCTTGATCCTTTGCAAATCATATCAATAGAGTTCTACAGACCCTGGCTGATCAAAGGGGCCGCTCCAAATGAATAAAAGAGGGTAAAAACATTAACATTCATTATATTACGGAGTCACGAAGAAACAAAAAAGAAAAGGGGGGCGGAGAAACGACAGATCGATATTGACAAACAAAACACCTGGCCGAAAAGCTTCTTGTCAATATTGCAGCATGGCACTTGAGAGACTTTGACGTTGCAGGCCGAGTCAGGACGACACGAGAAGCTTAATGTGCCGCCGACATAACAGAGCACCTCTCAATCCTTTCTGCCCTGCCCGGCAAGAAAGAGACGAATGGCAGCAGAAAAAGTAGTTCGCGCCACCAGGCCAATAAAGCTGAGTCCCCCCAGCCGTTGATGCTACGCCATCGTCTCCCCTTTTTGGCGCCGTTGCACCGTTGGAGCCGCGATGGGAAAGTCGGCCACGTCGTAACAGGTCGTAAATGGACATTTTCCGACCGTGGCCCCGAGAATTTGTCCCCAAACTGCGTACTGTGATCTTCCCATCCCCGTCTCCCCGTGTGCCCTCGATGCTACCGTCGCAGTGTCCAAGAAAGCAAAGCCCCCTCCTGACCAGTTATAGTGGCCGACTTTTCTTGAACCCCCCCGGTTTAGAGTTGTAGGTCTTGTTTCTTCCCCCTGCCGTCTTCCACTCTCTATCGCAGCGCTGATCGGCGTTGGCTGCAGCAATCCTGACAGCGTTCCCTTTCCCCGACCCCTACCTTGCTTGCCCTTCCCTTCCCTTCCTCTTTACCCGGGGTTGGCCCGGCGCTGTCAAACCAGACTTTGCTCTTCTTTGGTTCACGCGGGTTCGGATAGTGTAGTGTATGTTACTCTGTCACTCTGTGTCCTTCGTATGTGTGTGTGTGCGTGTGTGGCCATCGGCGCTTCTGTGGTGCAAAAGAGTTTCGATCCTCCAACTCCCCGAGGCCCCCCCTCCCCGCCCACATCAGAGACCCCATAGACTCAGCCAGCGACGCTAGTCAGATCAACGAGAATCGGCCTCGATTTGTCTCGTCACTAACACCCTGTGCCTTTTTGGATAACGAAGCTGAACTGCTGAAGCCAAGAACCCACGTACTCCGTAAGGCCAGCGGGTCGGCCATTCCTTAACTCGGACTTTGAAGTCTCAGTTGCTCCGGTTCGGTGGCGCTAAACATTTGGGAAAAATAAATTCCCGAGCAGGGCCGCGTACGTTTTGTGAGGTTTAGTGATAGTCCACCAACAGGTGGAGGCTCCTTAATTCGACAAAGCTACAGAGCTACATCTCATGAGTTGAGACATTGTAATCTTAAAACCCTCACTATCATCGTCCTTCAACGAGATCCCCGAATCAGTCACCCGAAAAGAAATCATAGTGGCTCGGGAGGTAATAGGATGTACTTTGTATGTGTGTCTGCCGTGTGGTACATGTATGCACGCACATACCAACACCAGATATTCTTCAATGCCGTGCCGTGCGAAGCGAACACACAGACCGCAGCGTAGAAACAATGAAGTCAAGAAAAAGCCCACTCCGTGACGTGCACGAGACACTGTCGAGCCTATTATACATGGCTGACATAGCAGTGCAAGAGCCAACTCTCACCCCCAGTCAGGTGTCACATCACACACTTTCTCAATCTCACACTTCAGCCGCATTGCGGTTGCGGGAAGGGATGGGATCAGGAACGGAAAGGCAAAAAAAAGAAAGGATGGGATGTCAGCCAAGTCAGTCAGTCAGCCAGTCAGAGTCAGGGCCAACGCTCGGGCTGGGGTCTCCGGTTCGTTTCATCGGTCTGAACAATAAAAAAGATGTCGGGCAAGTCTCGTGTCAAGGAGCGATAAGGCGAAGGAGCGAAAGGCAAAATAGACTCTATAGGGACAAGCAGACAACTTGGAGTTACCTTGCTGAGCTTCGAAGGAAAGAGACGTAAGAGAGACAATGGTTGGCCGCATGACTTTCAGCACCCACGGCTATTTTGCCGTGGACAAAATCAATCTGGCCTCTTTGGACTCTGAAGAGAGATTTTGGGTTCCATCGGTCAACCATGTAGACGAGCAACGGCGAAAAGACCGGCCGAAACAAAATATGCAAAGGCAACACTGACCTCACTTCTCTTACACCTTACACAACAGAGTGAGAGAGAAACTGGTAGAGAGAGGCACATACCACCCTAACAAGAAAAATCAGGCGGTGGATTTTTTAAGCGTAAATCTTCTGACTGTCTCATCCCAAGAGCACCACCAACTCTCTGACACCTTTCTGCAGCGTCGATCATCTGCCTCTTTTTTTTTTTTTTTTTTTTTTTTTTTCCTTTCTCCGGGCTGGTCTTACTTGGTGTCAATCATTGCCGTCTTCCGCCCTACCGCCTCCTCTTTCGCCGCACTTCTCTCCGAGTCCCAACGTTCCCGCTCTGGAACTTGGGCTGTTCTTTGCCTTTTTCAATGAATGGGGACAGAGGAGTCACCTAGATTGCTAGATCCATGGAGGAAATGGGAAGCCTTCCCCCCTCCCCTCCTCTTCCACTCCCACCCTGGTGGAGTTTAACGGGTGTGCCTGTGTCATCAGCAGCTGCCATCTCACAGTGTTGCGATCGGCGGCTTTTCCGTCCGGTCTCAAGCCTCGAAGTCAACGTACCTAGTGAGGAATGGCTCATAGCAAACTATACTTTCATGTTTACGAGTGCCTGTGTCGGAGAAGCTATTCCGAATACGTGTGAGTCCGTGAGGAAACACAATAGCGGTAGTCAAAAGATTAGTGATATGTTAGTGATGGGGAGATGAATCGGACTGATCCGAGCTTTCCTACGTGCTCGGTCCAGGCTTGTTGTGTTGCAAGGGGATCAAGTTCGCCTCATTGCAACAGAACCCACAATGTAGAGCCCACACATGTTACGTCTTCGGACGAAAAGATGTGGCCAGAAAAGACTGACGAAACCACCAAGTCACTGTGCAAAGAGTACGGGAAACTCATGATGATGATCTTTCAATCCTCTCCTCTGTTCGATTCTGTGCGGCTTCTCCTTTCTATATACATTACCACATAATCGTACATTTTGATATAATCGTTCAAGAACCGGAATAATAATGGAAAGAGAAGTAGAAAAAACAACCCAAAACACTGCCAAGACAGGGAAATCCTCACAGGAATAACCTTGCCTCTCGACTTGCCTCCGAACCAGAGGACTAGTCACACACAATAAACGTCGTGCCACCTCCACACACGATCCACCCACCCCCCGTATACAATTCAAAACGCCTGTAAATGCCAAGTTTTCTCATTGCCTGGCTGGACTTCTTGTCCGTGACCAGTTTTGCCCCAGCCATGATTCACGCCTCTTGCTCCGGTAGTAAAAAGCAGACGAAAAGGAAAATAGAAGAAATAAGCCAACTTTAACACATGTCGAGAAGAAATAGATTTCCTCATCTGCCTTTGATTGACCCCGTCTTCCCCAATCCAGAGGACCGCCAATGGATGATGTTCTCCAATCCGTGGGGAACCCTCTTTTGTAGTTGTTGAACGCCGATGAAAAGACTTTGATTTGATGGTTTGGGGTTTTGTTTGTTTTGTTTGCTTTCGTCATTGCTGATTATGATGTTAAAATTCATGTCGTTTGATGTTGTTGCAGTTGCGGTAAAAGTGATAATGTTCTACCACGTGGTATCTTTCCCGTTGAAACCGGTCCGAACCCCCCTTCCCCTTTGCCGTTCCAGCTCTTTTGCGCGTTTGACGACTTCACCCCAGGATTTTTGTCGTATTGATCATGATAACAGTGAATAGAAATAACCGTTCAGATTATAATTGTCGATCAATTGCTGCAGGTGCTGCCGCTCTCAAAGTTGTGGCATCCGCGCTCGTGACGCTTCATGTTGCTGCGAACGCTGAAGGCCTTGCCGCAGCCGGCGTGCGGGCACTTGAAGGGCTTCTCGCCGGTGTGGGAGTGGCTGTGGATGCGCAGGGATGAAGGGCGGGAAAAGGCCTTGTTGCAAGTCTGGCAGATGTAGCGGTCCTGGCTCTGAGGGAAGGATGCCGCTGAGGAGGGGGAGATGTAGTGGTGATGTTGCCACGGGTTGGTACCGTTGGGTCCCATGCCGACGGGAACGGGGGCCATGGGCGGGAATTGTTGAGGAAGAGGGCGCTGGTAGTAGATGCCAGAGATCTGAGCCTGAGGAGGAGGGGTGTGCTGCATGGGAGGGTAGTAGGAAGCCGCAATGGGGTTGTGGGCGGGCATATAGGCAGGCGGGAAAGGCTGGGCCTGGGCGTATGAGCCTTGGACAGGCACTCTTGGGATCATGGGAGCCATGTGGCGGTGGGCTTCGGCTTCCAGAGGGGGCGTGGACTCATAGTAGTAGTTGCTCTGGGGCTGTGAGACGACGGAAAGCTGGCTGACGGATCTCGTTGAGGGAGAGTTGTAGCCGTCGAAGGAGGCGTCGGAGCTCATGGGAGGCGTGGGAGGAAGTCCGCCGCGGCCATAGTGAGAAGAGCTTGGTCTCGTCTCGGACTTTTGGGAGGATGCTATGCGGGAGGTCAGTGTTCTGTTGCTGTTGTCTGTTGCGCTGTCCATCCTATCCGTACCTTGCTGAGGAATCTGAGGGTGCGTCTCGGATGTGGGCGAGCCTTGGTCTGCGAGGCCAAGGAGATTTGAGATGGAGGGGAGAGAGCACTTTGATGTCTCGTCCATGGGAGGCGATGGGGGAGGTTGAGGCGGTTGGACGTATCCGTAGTGTGCGCTTTGCTGAGCAGCGTACGGGTTCGATATTAAAGCGCTCGCCATTGTTGCTGATTAAGAGTTTCGAAAAACTTTGGAGTGTGCTTGGTGCTAGTGGCGTGGTGTAGTTGATCCTTTTCTCCTTGTAGTTGGCTTCAGTCTTGTCGTCGATGAGTTGATGAAAGATGTGGTTGATGTGATGGTGATGGTGGTAGGTCGTTGAATATTAACACAACAGGTATTAGATGTAGAGTAGTGATTAGCCCCAAGTGCCAGCTGGATACTAGAGATTGATTTTGCTTCAGGAGTTATTCGAGATTCCAAGTCAATGAGGGGGAAGGGGAGGGTGGGTAGTTTAAGTATGAAATGGCCTGGTGAAAGAAGCTTGTTGGTGGGTGGATGGAGTAGAGGTGGCAGATGGGGGAGGCAGGTATATCAGATCTCCCGAAGCAGAGTGGAATGGGTGATCAAGCGTAAATCCACACGATGATCCCTGGACGATGAGATGCCACAATCGCCTGTCACAAATTGTGTGTGGGTCAGAGGCAGAGAGAGTGGGATAAGTCTTGGGACCGTTACGCCAGGCCTGGGACCAGACGAAAGGCGGCGACGACGGGGGTGTGTGATTCTGATGGTAGCGAAGCAAGGGTCAGTCCAAGGTCCTCGTCTTGGGTCATCTATGGGGTACGTACTACTTAGTCGTGCTGCGAGGTTTAACGACAAGGGGAGGAGGACGGGGTCATCGGTACTAGGTAGATGAGACCGGGGGCCGTGAAGAGGGAGGAGGGGAGGGGAGGGGAGGGGAGGAGGAAGAGGAAGACAACAGGTAGGAATTAGCAAGTAGCAGAGACAGGAAAGAGAGTGAGAGAAGCGCGAGCACGATGGCCTGTCTCTCGATGTATCTGTAGCCTGGCTATAGCGCCTCCTGGATATTGGGATGACGGGGCAAGGGTACGTGGACGGTTCTCTTACTTGGGGGTGCATCGGGGGATCCTGAGCGATGCTGGTTGTGTGCCTGAACCATAATCATAACAACAACGATCTCGAGTCTGGCGTGGGCGGAAAGAAAAGAGTCGTAGTGTATCCGTACTTCTACGCAGTACGGATACATGGGAGCAGTAGGTAATGGGTGTATCCGTGTTGCTGGCTGGCTGGCAGCAGTAGCCGGGATTGCGGGTGAGATCGAGGGCGACTGACCCCGTCTGGGATCAACGTCAATGGATCGCTGAGGTCAAACGGTCACTGGTTTATGCAACGGCAGGGTCTGTTGTCCAAGAGCGTACCCCAGCCGTGTGTCCTGGCTGTTCGTTAGGGCCCTGCTCTGAACGCCTCTTCCTCCTTCTCCCACACGGGAATGTACTGAGGGAGTCCCCTACATATCTTGGCCACACGCCCTCTTACTCTTCTCGTTCTCTCTCTCTGTCTCTCTGAACTCACAAACTCTCAAGCTGCCGGCACACCCTTGGCCACGCCTCCCCGGCTCCCCCCTTCCACGGCCGTGGTGCGTGGGCCGCTAGCCTAGCAAGGGCTGATCCGAATCCAGTGCTGTTATGCATGGTACCACTCGGGCCACCATTTCCTAATCTGGATCTTGCTCCCGTTCCGAGGATGGGGCAGTCTGGGATGCCTCACCCCTGTCCTGTCATGAAGGCTTGTGTGTTTGGGACGGAGGCCCGAGGGGTTGGTGTAGAAGGGAAGAAGGTCAAGAGCCACGACGGGAGAGAGAGAGGGAGAGAGAGATGTTCGTTATGGACCGTGGTGTTCGTGGACTGGGGTTGCCAGCCGTGGGCACGCACCACAGACACACACTGCTCCGCACACACGCACGCACTTGAGACGAGCAACGACTCTGTGCCTGACTGACGTCGGGGGGCGTGCGGCGTGTGACGCCCCAAGAGCTTCATCAGACCCTGCCAGCCCTGTGCTGCGACCGGATTGTCGAGGTGATCTTATGCCGTTCGTCGCTTCTGCCTCGAATGTGCAGATGCCAGAACGTCATCCCAAGGCTGCGAGACTTCAGAAAGAGGAGGGAGGGGGACACGGTGCTTCAACGTGCCGTGCTAGGTCCCATGTTCGGATGACTGGTGTCTTTGTTCCAGAATCGTCCTGAAGTGTTGGAATGGCAAGTTGCCCATGATGCAGATTGTCGGATCCAAACTTCGCTCAATCTGCCGACGACGCGAGATGATCCCAATCTTGTCTCAACGGCTCTTCCCAGCATAATGAGTTGTTTCTATGCTACTATGATGTTCGGCCTCGCATCCGTGGGGGGGCATACGAATACCTACACACAGGGGCCCGGAAGAACCCCTTCCCAGATCATGGGACATTAATTGCAACAATATTCCGGATTTGCTACAGGGTTGAGAGGCAGGAGTGGCAAGCATTCTGGCCGGATGTTGTTTTGATTGACGCTCATCACGTTGTTCTCAAGACAAGCTTAATGATAAAAAAGGGTTGACGGGCTGGGAAAACGGCCTGCTCTTGGCATCTCATGCGGAGTCATCGGGATGAAAAATAGAGAAACAGCTCCCAAGACGTTGCGTTGCGTTGCGTCAACTCATGTGAAGAGCCGGTTTGTGCAACGGCAACAGCCGGTCAACTCTGGACGATAGCTTTTTTTTGACAACTTCAGACAACTCTCAACTTTGTGTCGTGTGCGTTGCAACCTTCAGGCAGTTGCCGCTTGGCGATGCCGACACAACTAGTACTGAGTGCCAGAGTGGCATCCCAGAGTGGCATTCTGACCATTCACAATTTAACCACGAAAATCAGTGTGGTGAAGGATTGACCGTCCGCCAGGCTTTCGGGTCGGGCATCAGTCCGAAATGGAAATGGAGCAGAAACTGTTCAAAGTTGAGTTCAGCCCAGGCAAGTCGGCCCCAGAGATCCCATATGATCGCAATTCAACACAACTCAACGCACCACCAGATAGAGTTCGTCACTGCAGCCCGACTCGACTCGGGGGGGGGGGGGCGGTTGGCTTTGTGACACCCATGGAAAAGCCGCGAGCGAAGCTCTCCCGCAGTCGCCGCAAAGCTCCTGGTCTGGCGTCTGCCGCTAGGTTCGGCGTCGTCGACATCGCTTGCAGCGGCGGCCGTGCGAAAGGGTTACGCACGTCAAGTTTGAAGGTAGCTGTCAGCGACTCGTTAGCCTCCTCTATTGGGCCCTGCTTTGCTGCTTGTTGCTGTTGGGTTGGTGTGCTCTGACAGTATCTCTCCATCTTGTCCTTTCCCCCCATCTTGGTTGTGGGCTTTTTGCGAGGGGATCGGACGGCGGCGGCGTCAAAGAGACGGCACGGCATCGATAGGGGAATGGGGCATCAGGGGCGCCGGGATACTGTTTCTTGGAGGGGGAGGGGAAAGACTCCATATTGGCATGGCATGAGGGTGTGAGAAATGTGAGATGTGTGAAGGGGGTGTAAGAGGAGGGGGGGGCAGGGAAACAGACAGTCGGAAACAAAGGCTAATTTCAATATGATCTTCAGTTTAGCTCGGGCGCCAGGAAAGCCCCCCTCGCTTGCGCAGGGTGGCTTGAACCTTGCAAGGATAGGGTCACAGGGGAGGAAGAGAACAAGTCTGGTCTTTGGTGTCGGCTCTCTCTCTCCTACTGCCCTCTCTGCTCGGATTCTCGCTCTCTGAGTTTGAACGGCCCATGGATGTGCGCATGTGTGTTGTGTGGTCATCGTCTTGGCCTGGTGCTTGCTTTCCCTAAACATTTGATCCCACCCCGGGCCCCGGCCATGATGTCTCGCACATACCCTGTCCACTGCAAGGTGCCTCTGCCTCTCTCTGGCTCCTACGACCCTGGTTCATGAGGAAGGGGTCCGTGATCGACCTGGAGACGAGGGTCGAGAAAGATGGGAGGAAAAGGGTTTGGGAATGGGATGCAGACGGAACGGCAACGGAGTTCCTGGGAAAGGCCCGGGGTCAAGACTCAAGGGGGGTTGGGGAATCCCTTCCATGTGAGGGCCAAGGCATGAAGAAGGCCTCAAGTTCCGAGAGCTTCTCAGGCACAATTGTGCAACAGAATGGCTTCGGATGAAGCGGTGACTCGTCCGTTATTGCTTGCCAAAGACCAAATGACAGGCTCCGTCACGTCTTGTCCCGCCGATGTCGTCCCAAGTCTTCCGCCGTGACAGCTCCGGTCGCTCTGATGTTTTGCCACTGCTTTAATATGCTTATGGCAGCAAGTTTCCTCCCTCCTCATTCATGTGGTTGCATGGATACCAGTCTTTGGAAGTGAGTGGTTGTTGTTGATCAGAGAGTTTCGGAGTGGGTGTCTGTGTCTGTGTCTGCGTCTGCGACGACACTGATAGCATTTGCATTCCCGTTTGCATTTTGCATGTCTGCAACTCTGCATTTTGCCATGTGCGCTGCCCTGTGACAGAAGAGCCTCCCTGAGACTTGACGACAACTTGGCATGGCACTTGGAGAAACGACGACCACGTAATACCCTCCCCAGACCCCCGAGAGGCTTGAGGCTTGCTTGCCTTGGTACGCTTGCAAGGCTCGGGGAACGGGGAAACGGGCAAACGGGGGAACGTTGAGACAAAGTGCAGACTTCAGACTTCGCTTGAGAAAATGGCTGGCGACGGCGTCGTCTAGTGTCTCCGTGTCAAACTTCGCGAACGACTTTAGCGTCCTAGCACGTGAAGAAGCAGAGACAGAGAGAGAGAGACATGAACACCTTTGGTGCGTCTAGTATAGCTGAGAGCGAGAGTCTTAGTTGGAGCGTCCCCGCCGCCAGTGAAGACTTTCTCCCTCGGTCCACACTATGTTAGTAGACGTAGACGGGCCGTATGTGACGAGAGGACTTGTGAGGCTTGCGTGGCTTAGAGGAGGAACCGCCCGGCCGTTGCTTGCTTTTTCCCACCACCGGTGCCCATGGCCCATGTTCCTAGACGAAGCCATCACCAGAAACGAAATGGAATGGCTACCGCTATGCCGCGTGCTAACACCGAACAAGTTGTCTGTTCCGTCGCGAAGCACGCTAGACTCACACCAGAACCACCATGGAATCCTTTAGTGGTTGCCAACGCCTTGCTTGCGACTGGCACTTGCACATTGCTGGGCCGCTGGCCGACACAATGCAACGATGAGCCCGTCCACACACTCTATCGTAGTCCGTCCGCATCTGAGGGTATCAGTACTATGCTCAGTATGCTGAGCGATGCCTCTCTCTACGAATGAGAGTCTGCTCACTTCAACCCTGTTCTGCCCTGCTGGACCATGCTTGCGGATGAAAGTCCCGCTGCAGCGGGCGCGTTGTTGCTCACCGTTGTGGGATGACCCCCCAATCTCCATCTCCCATCGGTGTAACATCTCGTTCATTCGCCAATCGGCAGCAGCTGGTTGTCCCCCCCGCCGTGGGGAGAGAGAGGATCGCGATGTGCGAGAATCCAACATCACGATAGTCTCTTGGCCGTCCGTGGTAATGGTTAACCCCCCGAAGTTACGTGATTCACCTCAAGCTCGTGTGGCTGAGCAGCATCTCGGACCCTCGACTTGGGAAATGAACGCCAGACGATAAACTTTGAGAGCGACACGCAAAGATGGAAGCGGTTCGTAGATAGTTCGTGAGCCTTGCAGCGGCTGCAGATCGCCGGGAGGCCGGCCGCCCACGCCCACGTCCCTTGTACTCCGTTATTCCTTTATTTTCTTGATTAATCTTTTTATACTTTGGCTATGCTTGACGGCCATCTGCCAACGACTCAGCACCCGCCTGAAATCGTAAAACCTTGGAGAGGCCAATTTGTTTCGACGGAATTATTCTGCCCCCGTCACTCTCCAACTCTCACAACCCCAGCGTCAGATCCCGCTTCTCGTGTCCTTCGGTCAAGATCCTCACGACGGGCGAGCGACGATCTCTCCTCTGCCCTGCTCCCGTGGTCCCATGTCGTCGGAAAAGCACGAGAAGGACGTTCCCCATTCAAAAGACATGGGCCGCAAGTCCCGTGATCGGGCTTTGAACTGATCCAGGTCCTCGGGCTTTGAAGCTCTGCTAGCGCGAGCCTGGGCATCCTCTCAACCCCAGCATGTCCGTCCACCTCCTCCGCCGTATCCTGTCAAAACGGCAACTTCCTGGGATAAGTCAGATCTGTCTGCCTCTCTGTGCCTCTCTGTGCCTCTCTCTCCCTCCTGCTGCTCGTGTGGACAAGGTGTTCCGCGGGTGAGCGATAGGTCTAGCTACCTAGGCACGGCTAGCAAAAGGTAAGGTAGCAACAAGCTCCCTAGGCTTGCCTGAGCTTAGCTGGTGCCAAACGAAACGGCGTCCATCCAGATCGGGTGCAGCGCGTGGCGTCCGCCAGACCTTTCGTATCGACGTATCCCTTCACTTTGTCGTCGTCCGTCCCCCGCGCGCATGCAAAGCTGCTGCGTGTCGACCCTGCAGTATGGGGTACCCTACGGCGCGAAGCGGTCGTACTTCGGAGCCTCTTTTTTTCTGATTGTACCGGTATCGTCATATGGGAGCACACCCCATATAGCCCTCTTCTCGGATTCCCTAGACTGAGAGCGGCAGGCCGTACGATAGTATACGCAGCCAGCCCAGGTGAAGAGGGTGGGTGGCAGATGTACCCGTCCAACCGCTACCGCTGAATGGACGCCTATCCAAACCAAACACCGGGCTTTTTTTGTGTTTGCAATCCGGCTATTCGTATGTACTGATGGAACGTGGTAGGTAGATCGTCCATCCTTTAGGCTTTTCGAGACTTGAAGCCTGAAGACGGGGACTCGGACCACGGTACAGCTCGCCCCGATGTAACTTGTACGAGCGGTCATCATCCACGCCAGCAGATCTGTGAATGAGATCAACTGTGCCCCTCTAGGTAGGTAATTCGCCTTTAGACATTGGCCTCTAACAATGGGCCCGGGCCAATCTTGTCTTCCAGCTCTCACCTGTCACCGACCAATCTCCGGGAAGGGCTGGACCTTGGGCTGGGCTGGTTCCCCCTCGACCATCAACCCACCCCCCTTGTCCAAGACTACCTCTAACCGAAGGGCACTAACGCGGTGCCCGCGCGGCGATCGTCTTCGAGTGCCTCGGGTATTGTCCCAAAAACACTCTCTTGGTAAACCTTGGTCAGCAGCAGCGCAGGTTGAGCACGTTGTCTGCCGCGGCGCCGCTACCTCTGGCTGGGTACCGTCGTGCCGATCTCGAAGAAAAACCCACGCACCCGGACGGGAAGTTGATCCAACCATGACGGCCGATGATGTCGTTGCAGCCGGCACTGCGTCCTCCTGGGCAACCCCCGGTCGTGAGTCTTCAATTGCAACTTGCAAGATCATCCGGAGAATTCCAGGACAATGCGACGGTCGTGGATACATGAGGCGATTCTCACTCCATTGGGCGTATGTATTGTTGTCGATGTCGACGATGGGAGCCGCAGGACCTCCTTATCCATAATAGAGCATGGGGGTGTCTCCGCCTACATACATCACCGCCATGATTATTATTGTTGTTGTTGTTGTTGTTATCATCATCATCTTCATTATCTAGTATACGTACGCGTTCTCAAGTCTCATCCGCCAAATCAATGTTTGGGATACCAACCCCGCGAACACTTGGCTCCTGCGGAGGAAATGTCATCCGGATACCATCTGCTGTCAATCATCAATCAACTCTAAAGTCAAACAATGGCAGCTGCCTGTCTTGCAACTCATAATGTGCCATGTGCGCTGCTTGGCGCATACAAGATCGTCCCTGAAGCACGAGCGGTGTCACGGAACGGGCAGCCGACCGATGTGTGTGTTTTGGTACGGGTTGTGCTTCAGCCCTCAAGGACAATTCAATGCCGGTCGCGAATCCGATTCCTCGGCCCCTACCTGCTTTTTCATTGCCAATTGCAGATCATCCATCACCGACCCGCTCATTCACTAGGGGTGAGAAGGGTCAGTTTGTGCAGAAACGAACGGGCCAAGATGTACTGTGTATCCGTATGTTAGTATAAACTGATGGCTGGGAAGAGGCGAATGGCAGTAAGACAAGGCTCAATCCTGTTTGCGTCATGTTTCTTGATACTTTGCCCCCCATCACACACATATATCCGTATTCGAACATAAGAGCAATGAAGCACATCAACTCGCGCCGCAGTAGCTCCAGAGTCATTATGCAAAGTCTCACCAGTGATCACAAACACAAAAATTCCAGCCCTGCACCACATGGCCAACATGCTAATCACTCATGGCGGACACGAGCTGTAAAGACACTACGCAACTGCCGACCGCCTGGGCGTCGCGCACTATTCTAGTAGGTTTCGTCGTAGTAACACGCCGGCAGCCTCGTTTGCAGCAAAGCCACTCGGCACTTTTTTAACGACGACGAGGGCGGTAGCTTCCGAGGTGCTCGGAATCGGAGCAACTGTTCGCGAACATAAACCCTAGGTGCAGGACGCCGTCTCTATTACTACCACCTAAAGTCAAATCTGGTCCCTCGTATGAAGGTGTCTCGAAACTTTGATTTCGAGATACTAGCAAATCGTTGCCTACACTAACGTCCCAAGAGGCCCTGTGACCCTGTACTGGAAAGTGTAATAAGTATAATGGGATCGATGATGTCGCCCGCTTGAATTCCGCCGCCAGCGCGTGTCTGGGCCAATGAATCCCATGGCTGGTACCGGTGCAACGGGCGTGACCAGATCCTTCTCTGGCCTCTCTCCGCGGCAGGTTCCTTTCAAGAGCGGCAGGGACGCTGATTGGGATGGCGGGACCCAGACGTGGACGAGGGCGTCGAGAGGATCTGTCGATCAGCACAGGGGGGGCCATCCGCCCAAGCCCAACCCTTGGCTCTCATCCCATCAGCTTGCTTTTTGAGAACCGGTCCCAAAGTCTGTTGTGCTGGCTCCACTATCACCATCCATCTTCAAACTTTCTTAATCGCTCAACCAGAGTCGAGAGTTCCAAACGAGAGAATTATGACGGAAACGGCGTGAAGGAGAGAATGCCACTAGCTGAAGGGGAAATGAGGCTCAAACCTCAAACAAACATAGCAAGACATTTTGAAGACCACGAGAAATGTGTCTTCAATTGCAGAAACGGGCTCTAGTTTATCCTACTGTTCGTCGCCCGGCCTCGCCCCATAAATCATTTCCTGTTGTTCAGAGTCGAGACTCTTCCCTTCCAACGCTCGATCAAAGCAACTTATCTCCTTTGGCTAAGCCCCTAGAACATCTATGGAACGACAAACCACCCCTGGATCCCCCTACTTGCCCAGTCCTCCGACCACATTGAGATTTCCGAGAGTGGGGGAAGATTAAGATGGGAAGAACAAGCACAGGCCAGAGCTTGCTCCCCATGCCCCGAGAAACGACGGCCGCTTGGGAATAAGTCCATTGGCAATTCGCAATCGGAGCCAGCTCCTACCATCGTAAGCCCTGAGGGCCGAGGCTTCTGCCCATGGCAAGCTGGCAGCATTGAAGATGGCCCATCTCGAGAGATTTGGTAATTCAACTCTCGTAACTTAATAAGCTGGCTAGTGCCTCCTGCGACTGACGCGGATAATCTCGATTAGATCTCGCTTCGGCCCCAAAAGAAGCATCAGATTTGTGCGGATTGGAAAGACGGCTAACCGAGAGTTTCGGCTAGAGCTGTGGCGGCCGGGCATCATCTACGGCGTCCCTTAGTCTGAGAGATTTAGAGAAATTGAACCGCCGCTCTCCCAAAGCCACATCACACAAACTTCCGACTACAGGAGCTGTAGCTTGGTTTTCCTAGGTATCTACTGCAGCCTACGTTCTCTCGAATGAAATTTAATTGATCCTAAATTGAACCAACATGAACCTTTCCAGATGATAGTGAATAGACAGCACAGTAGGTAAGCCTACCCTGCTTCATCTACGTGCCCCCCCCCCCCTTCCCCTCCCTCCCAGCACCGTGTTCTCTGCTTCCCTTCCCTCTTCCCGGTGGGTCATCCCATTGGACGCCTCTCTCGAATCCTCCCGAAAGTTCCCTACGCACACGGCCGGATCCAAGGGGTGTGAAGAAGACCTGGCACTTGGGTACGGGATAGAACAGAAAAGCAGAGGCCCACGGGACAATCCTGTGATCTCCAGCCTCCGCGACGATCAACCAGGATTTCCCCTGCCCTGCCAACACACTCTTTCTTGACTGGACGACCCGAGAAGAACCACCACGCGAAGAGATGCAACCTCTTCTGAAAGCGTGCTAGATGAACATTAAAGAACCGTGGTCGAATGGGCTGGCTAGTCTTGCTTGGATACCCGGAAACCCGTTCTTTACCCATCACGCTAGAGAAAAAAGTAGGGCCCCTTGTTGAGAAGAGATGGATCAAGATCATTCGTTGACTAGGGGCGCTTTTGCTGCCCATCTCGCACGGGGTCTATCAAACTCTCGCAGGCCTCTTTGGAAGTTTGGAACTGCTCTGGATGTTATGTTCTCTATCTCCCGCCCGTCGGCTGACTACTGACCCAACCAAGTTGCCGATTCTGGCCATCTGCATCTACCCATCTTTGTCTCTCGCTCTCTCTCTCTTCTCTCCACTACGGGATTGGATTACCAGATCTGTGGCCCTCGTCGACGAATCCTCCTTGGCTTTTCTCCTCCTTACCAGGGTTTCTAGGCCAGTCGAGAACGCTGAACTGCAAATTGCCCCTGGCAGCCCTCCCACGCCCCCTCTCCCACCCCTTCAAGAGATCGCCCATCAGGACGTCAAAGTAGGCACGCACGAGCACGTAGGGTCGGGATGGGCGCTGCGGCGCTGTCACTCTTTACCGTTTTCTTATTCTTCCGCCGTCTGGCTGTGCTTGTTTAAATCTCGTTCAAAGCCTCCAGGCGTCATCATGGCCTGACTCTGGCCGTTAGTCTTCCTCTCGTGCTTCCGCCTTGCCCCTGGGGCTTTGGGTTTTGGGGGGCTCTTCTCTTTTGGGTTTGGGAAACAAAATGCATCAGCCACACTTTGAGTAGCTCAGTGACACACAGACACACACCTCCTCGATGAGGCACCCCCAGTCCTCTCCCTACTAGAGCCTAGCCGCTCATCTCTCCAACGTCGCTTGGTGGACAGAAAACATTCCAGTCGACGACATGTTGTCTCTTCCTCCAGACTAATGATAACCTTTCGCCCTTACAGAATCATGATTTTGAAACCGCCATCATTTGGTCTGACTGCAAATGTTCTTCTTTTACTGCTTTTTGTCTTTTCTCCCATGTTCACGCAACGGGCGCTGCGGGTTGAACGATTCAGAAGCCTGGACTTTTCTCTCAAATTTCTATTAATAACGCCCAGCAAACCTGTCAATGCGATGAGATTGCCCAATCTGGACCATGTCCGGGATGCGATGTCCAATGATGTTTCTTGTTGTTTATTTTGCTTTTTCTTGAACAGTTTGTCTCGCAGCCCTGCAACGCCAACGACAATGGCTCACCTTTCGAGGTTTCCCCTGACTGTATCTTTAGGCTATTTTATTCATTTCCATTTCATAATTGTTGTACGCGTTCAAATCTCCGTCACAGGCTCACAGCATGTCAATTTTGAATTTCTGAGCCATGCTGACTGGTGTCCCCCATGCCACAGGGGCAGATCTCGACCGAGAATGAGCTGGGGGGAGGGTCTCCTTCAAAGCTGCCGTTGAACGGGAACATGGGGGGTGGCAGGCGGCTGAAGGATGCAGCAAGATGCAACGAAAGCCACGTCGATGACCAGCACATGCTTCTCACCGTGGAATGCCGTTGCTGGGATTGATGGAAAAGCCAGCAAATGGCACGCACGCGCTTGTACCGTTGAACTACAACCTACCCTCGCGTCGAATGGCGCTGCGCCCGTCATCAAGAAGCTCGAGGCTTCATCACCCATGTGCCTCTATGCCGTCCTCGGTGCTGCGTCCCCCCAGGAGCTATAGCCACCAAGTGAGTGAGCAGCAGCAGCAGCAGCCCGTCGACAGACAAGATGCAAGATGGGCTGTCGGGCAGCCTGCAGTGCAACACCAGACCACCGAACAGACCCCGGCAACGCTGGTCAGTCATCCTTTGGATAGGTTCTTCCCCATCCTGCTCAACGCGCAAGCCGGAAGGAGACAGACAGGGAGCACGCTGCGAGCTTAGCTCGTATGTCACCATGGTCTCATGGATTGGGTCCAGCTATGATATCCGTACCTCGGTCTCTGCATCTCGGAGGCGTTGCTGCTCCTGCTACTGCTGCTCCCGGTCAAAGTTTGCCGCATCGGCCGGGGATAGGAAGACCGGTACCAAGGCGAGCGGTCCAGAGACCATGGGTCCATTAGTTCGCATCACACATTAAGTCCGGTAAAGTACGGTATTGTTTGCCTGTCAAAAGGGAGTGGTTGTTGGTTCATCTACATGTCCCGAGAGCAATGGGGGAATTTCATCCTCTGCCGGCAAAGTCTGCAGGCCGTCCAGGCTCGGGGAGGCGGACGGACTTCCATGCTGCTGCATTTGCCGCCCTGCGCCCTGTGCAATATCATCAAAAAGTACCTCCCCCTTCAGTTATCAATGATCTACTCCTTACGAAGTTACGAATACCCCCAATGAAAAATACGCGTCCGACAGACATGCAAATCCGCATAGCAGAGGCCCTGCCTCATCTCGACGAGTCGGCCGCAAGCGGGCCTTGCGGGGGAGCGCAATACGACAATTCAGAGGAGTTGGAACGTTGATGACTCGCAAGCCACATGGCTCGAGAAAAGGATCTTCCCTGCCTCCATTCATTGAGGCTAGACGACCGTTTGGGAATTTCTCAGAAGGGATATCCCCCTCACCTCCAGCCCTGTCAACAGGAATGCAGGCGGACTGGCGAAATGAGCCCTTTGCTGCTAAGCCGGTCCCCGGACCCCTGCATGTGGTCCCTATATCGGCTTTCTGTTAAGAGTCAAAAGAATACACCGGCGTTCCGGTTTGCTTTTTTCGACAGCTGTCTGACCCAAGACGGACTCAAAAAAAAAAAAAAAAAGAGCAATAACAACGTCAGGAATGGGCTTCTCGTCCGGCGAACGGGGCTTCTGGTGTATCTCAATATTGCGACTCTATACCAGCGGCTCGCTACTCATGGGCAACGACGCAGGTTGAATGTGTGACATCCCTCGGAGCGGTTGGGTCGACTCAAGGGTCAATGCCCGAGGGCTGAGACGGAAACATGCAGCTTGCAAGAAAGGGCAACTCACGAGGGTCCCATTCAATATCGAGAGGGTACGATATGCGAGGCAAGGCACACTCAACGGAGGCTGGTGCACCACCAGTACCGCTGCATCAGTACTCCATACCAAGCACAAGCATCAAGCAGAAGCAGAAGCATCAGCACGAGTCTATCTGTTCCGAATTGTCGGGCGAGTTCCGGATATTGCTCAATGGTCCTTGCTGACAAAAAACCGGCTCCGAGTGGGAGAAGCATCTCTTCGAGACCAAAGCAGAAGAGCATGCATACTGGGCCCCCCCTCTAGGCTCTATCAACCTATCCCCAAATCGACAACTGCATCGTGGTCTTGGGTCTTCTTCCCCTGCCCTTTTGGCCTTTTTCATCCCCATCCAAAAAGCAAAAACACAACGCACCCCCTGATGCCGTCTCTCATCGGTGTGCTTGACGTTACACGGCACTGGGGTCTCAACTGCCAAGTCCCACCGATCACCGTCCTGAATAATTACCTTGACGTCGTTCATCGCGGGCGAGGCTCCGTCAGTACCGAGCATCTGGGGCCCTCCTTCCTGGCAACTGGGAACAAGGCATCTTGGACACCGGACAAAGGTTGGGTAAAAATTGGAGTCGTACGTCAAATGGTGACGGGCGAGCAGAAAAAGATCCCAAGAGGAGACGGCTCACATTACGAACTCTCAACGTATCTGCCTCTGTGGACTCTATTCGCAGGGAACTGCCTTAGCTTCAGTGGATGCATATCAAGAAAAACCCAGTCCACACAGTCCACATATCCTATCCAGCCATCCCCCTACTCGACGAGTAGACCGGGATTTCAAAGAGAAAGGGGTGATCCCAGCAGAGACACGTTTTCCATGACCGTTTGTGGGCTCGAAGAAGCGTTGCGTCCACGATACGTACTACGCAACCCACCTAGAAATACGATCACGACTATTGACCGAGAAAAGGAAGAGGAGACGCAGAGGCAGGTTTCATGACACAAACGGGAGGGCCTCCGGGTCGAGCTCAACCTCGATTCGGCGTACCGAGTACTGCTGCTGCTCCCCTCTCCATACTACCCTGGCAAGCAAGAAAGAGGCAGCGAGGCTGTGCTTGCATACATATCGAAAATCGTGGGACTGTGAGGGGGGTAAGCTGTGAGGTGCCGCGATTCAGAGGATCATTTCCCAGGATCTTGCAAATCGCAGGCGTCTTCCCGATTCCCCGAAGGCATAATACCGAAGGAAACTCAATATTTGACGAGGAGAGATGAGCATGTTCAGTGGGTGGGAACGGCGAGATACATCGCGGTGACAAAAACCCTCCGAGGGAACTGAATAATGGGCTTTCCATGGTCCTGGCTTCCTGGTCCAACACAACCTGACCGAGCGGATCCAGCAGTCTGGAGTCTGCCGTCCACCGCGCATGCTGTCATACAAAGTCCACTTGGAGGGGGGAAGGGGTGAAGTCTGGGTGTCTCCTGGAAGTTACTCTTCTTCTTCCAAGAACGAAACAAGTGACGATCAGCATCCTTCGAGCCCTTCATCCAACCTTCATTCCAGCAGATAGATGAGACCAACTCGCCGTAACTTCGTAAGCCCAGTACCATCCATGCGTACTGACATCAACTCTGTCCCGCCCAATTCTCTCTACTCGATCTCGGCCGGTCTAGCGTTCAAAGCTGCCCACTCCACCCTTTCGTATATTGAGGAGAACGCGTCCTCGTTGGCCGACTTCGTGGGCTCACGCCTCGAGATCTCCCGTGGGCTCCCCTCTGTCGGCACCCACTAAGAACCCAGGCATCGTGGCACCCCAACGGTCCAAGGCTCGCCTCCTACAGGAAGTTAACGTTCATTCCCGCTTGGCACAGGTAATATGGCGCGATGCCCACAAAGCCAAAGGAGCCGGAGAGCGTCTACTCCGCAGGAGGCCCCCATCGCACCTTGTGCCTAGGCATTTTGGCCCCCCATCTCTGTGAAGATCCTTGACACCACCTCCTTCTTACCTACGAAGAAAGGGAATGGGGCAAAATGGAAGTATCCGTATGGAAGACGCCGCATATGCGCTCCGTGGCTGCCGTACCAGAGATCACTTGGGTGATCACCAACGCATGGCCATGGGTGTGTCGGAAAAGTGACCAGCACGTCAACCACCATAAGTCCGGTCCCCGCCTCCTTTCACTCTCCTCCTGCAGACATCTCATTACGCATCCACGTTGCTCTCCTATATCGCTGCTGCCGCTCCTTCTCCTACTCCTTAGCCTGCCTTATACGATGATAGACTCCGCTGGAATGCTTCAGGACAAAACTCGAGTCGTTAGCCCAAGAGGCAAAATCACTCAGCACGAGACACCCGTTGGCGATGATCAAGCACACAAGAGGGGCGTGTACTCCGTACTCGATACATGAAGATGGATGGATGCTCCGCAGAGAGGCTCGTGATATGCAGCGGTGAAGTAGAGAATCCACCACCCGCAGACACGCGAGAGAGCCGGACGGAGTTATACTTCCACCTTCCAACCTTCCACCCTCCCCCTATCAGCCATTTTCTGTCATCTGCAGGCCTGTAAGGCCAGTAGAGAGCAGAAAAAAATGTGACAGCCCACAAGGTGCGATCGTGCTCGCAAATCTTCGCTCGTCAAGAGGGTCCTTCGACCTCGTCTGGGTTTCGGCCCATTGGCCTTTTCCAGTCACAAGTCTCACTGCCGGCCGCGGTATTCGCAGGATATAGCCTCATCCACTTTTACTTGCCTGCCTGTTTTGCCAATATGCCCTGCCTCCAACTGGCTCGGTCTTTCAGAGGAAGTGGAAGGGGGGTCTCGTTCAAGTTGAGGGTGGGGGCCAAGAATTCCGATGGCCTCCATCCGTATCCCGTATGCCATCCATACCTCTCTTTCTTTTACCATCGATTCTGGTTTAGTTGTTCCTCTTCGAATCTCTGCCATGCCTCCTAGGCAGTTGGCAACCAGAGGCAGTCTTGGGAAGAAAGCCTAGATTGTCAAAAGGTCCCATCCCAACGCCCTTACATGTCCCCAATTACCGCGGCCGCAGGCGCCACAATCAATGACTCCATGCTTCGAACCTGGAGTCTAGAAGCCTTAGTGTCATGGCAACGTTTACAGGGCTGGCGACGTAAGGAGTGATTGGCGGGAGATGTAAGGCGCGTGTGTGTCTGTGTGGTGGCATTTCCATACGTTCCAATAGTCAGCAGCCACACGGCAACAAGCCGAAGCGACGCGGCAGCAGCAAGTTAGCAACCCCCAAAGAAGAACCCGGGCCAACGAGACTTTCACATCCCGTCAACGGCGGATAGCGGGCGGACGGCGCGGGCTGAACGGTTCACGTTGTCAGTGGTGAAATTCCAAGCCCAACGTCCTCTGCGCCCGCTGCTGTATTGCTTTCCCAATCCCGTGTGCTGTCTTCCAAACGTCTCCTCATTCCTTCGAAGGGGAGGATGATGAGGAGGAGGGTAACCGTAATAACCATGACCGGAAACCGTAACACGGCCCGAGATTAGACTGCTCCCCGTGCTGAGGCAAAGCAAAAAAGGTGTGGTGATTCCCTCACCATGCACGTCCGCGGTTGGTGGCGATCCTCTTGGTCGTCCGTCAAGCCCAGCCTGTTCCCGTCCCATGAATGGTCACCGTTCTAACGTCGTTTATCCCCCCCCCCCCTTTTCCCGCGCCGCTGTGCCGCAGACGCGCCTTTCTAGCCTGGACATTTTGAAAGATCGACCCGGAAAGGGGTCATACGGCGCTCCGAGCTTTTCGTCGTAGGAAGCGGCTACGCGGCTGCGGGTTCCCCTTGACGTGTGTCCCCTGCGCAGTGCATCACGGGCCTGCTGCTGCTGCTTGTCGAGCTTGGGTCTGGTTGTCGTTTGGTTTCTTTCTCTGGAGCCCTCCCTTTGGCTGCTTTGCGCGTTTATCCCAGTTCTTACCGCAGTAGACGTGGGAATGTATGCATATGGGACGTCTGGTCTGGGGTTCAGTCCGAGCCAGCAGCTAATGTTGACGGTCGATCATCCATTTCAGTCCAGTCCAGTCCAGCAGCAGCAGCAACAGCTCTCAGGCCAGATGATACCCACCCCCTCCCCTTGGAAGGTAGAGGGAATAAGCAACAAAGGGCGAGATATTGCTCTCTCTCTCCCGAATTGCCCTACAGCGGACGTGCTCGTACATGCAATCTTTTGGACAGTATTGTTTGCTTCCCGCGGTGCTCCGTGCCCTGTAAATGCACGCTGCATGCGAGCTGCATCATGCAGCTTGCAATACCCAAGAAACGAACGTTTTGGCGATCCCGCAACGCGGACGTCACTTCTGTTCTCGGTAGGGCCATCCGGGGAAAAAGAAACGTCTTCTCAGCCGGAGAGACACTGGAATGTCTCGACTGGAGCGGAGAAACGTCCGGGGTTTGTTCGTTTCGTAGGCTGCTACTGGGCCATTGTCTCTCTTGCTCACTGTGTCACTATCTCTCTCGGTCTCTGTTCCTCTGCTTCTGCCAACAAACTTGCGAGACAGAGCCAGCGATCATGGGGTTGTGGTGGGATGGCCAAGGACGATATACATGGGTTTCCGCAGGATGTCTCGCTACCATGAAGCGAAGAAGGGGCCAAACCGCTCCCTCGTGGGCGCGGATGTTCTAGCTGCCGTTGTGGCTGGCCCTTGGAAGCTCACGAGTCTCGACTAGAAGCCGTAGCTACTTCGCGCGGCTTGAGACACCGCGTTTAGAAGAGCTGAATTGCCTTTCTTCGCCTGAACCCTACGTCCAAAGTAGATCGATTCCAGCCTAGCTCTCTTCTTCTTTCAATGACCGGTTTGGTCCTAATCCTTCAGAAGAACGCCAGTACGGCTATCGTTTGACCGCAACCGGGGGGGGGGGGGACCACGGAATGTCGACGTTTCCCTTGCTCATCAGCTCATAAGATAGTTACTCGTTAGTTCTTGACGAGCTAAGACAACACCGAAAGAATCAACCAAGCCCGTTTCTCTGTCCCCCCAGAAACCTAATCTCCAAAGCCCGAGAGACGAGATGCGATACCGTAGCACTAATCTAGATCGCGATCACGAACGATGTGATAAATCTGGCCGTAGCCCCTCCGAAAGCGGTAGCCTCGTGCCTTGATAGCCAAAGCAAAGCAAGCGCAATGTAAAACCCCCTTGTCTGACCCTGAACTTTTGAGGTACCATTCATCGGAGGACTATCCCAAGTTAGACTACCACTTCGTCAGCTCTGTCCTTCCAAAGTGTCTCAAAGTCATTGACAACACGGCAACAATAGAGTGTGAGAGAAAAAAAAGAACAAACCTGCCCGCTCGCTGAGCTTCCCGAAGTCCCGCCCGCGCCTGCTTCGTCCTGGTCCTGCTGCTTGCGCTGGACGAGCGGAGGAGAAGTGCTTGTTTCTTCTTTTCGGGGCTTTTCAAGGTCCAAGAAGCCAAGCTGCGTCTCTCTCCCGCAGACGGAGTCTCTCTGTGCCCGGTGCTTTCATGATTTTCTCGGTTCCCCGGTATGCAAGATGGGCTTGCTGGGGGTCTCAGGCAGGTCGCCGATGGTTGATGTGGGCGTAAGGGGGTGCGTAAAGGTGCGGGTGGCAGTAAGCGAAGATGAGAAAAAGCAATTATATCAAGAAAACACCAAGCCTAAACCGCACTGGCCCCAACATCATGAGCTGATGAACGAACCATACACGGGTAGAATCCGGGTTCGGCTTGTGTCCCGATACCATGTTACCGTGAACAACCCCCCCCCCCCCCGGGGGCGTGGGCAAGTGGAGAGCACAAAGACACCGAGGGCAGAGGAGAGAGAGAGAGGGCATTCGGAAAAGCAAAAGCTCATATCTAGATCCAGAATACTCCCCTAAACCACCCGCAGAAGCAGCACTCGGAGCGATGACGGCGATGATATCGGCCATCAACAGCAGGGAGTACTCCCCTCCATATCCGTCCCGCCTGTCGTTGGAAAGAATGAGTCGGTGAAGCTAATGCAGCAAATGCCCGCAATCAC